CTCCCCCCCCCCCCCGCCGTAGAAAGTGCTACTCCAGTTCCTTCCGATACGGCTGTGGAAAGTGCCACACCTGTTCCCTCCGACACGGCCATCGAAACGGCGACTCCTGTTCAAACTGGAGCCTCCACAACGGCTACGCCCTCCCTCAAGACCACGACAGCAGCGGCCTCATACTGATTCCGCTCGGCCATTTTGTCGGCGTCCGCGACTGTAAGCCCCTTGTTGAAAATCATGACCAATTGAGTCACTCATAACGCCCATTGAACAGGTGTGATTCAGGCTGTAGGTCTTCGGTATAGTTTGCGCAGATGGTAGTGGTCATTGTTTATGCACGGTTGGAACTCGTTGGTATCGGATGCTTCATTCGTTCTGCTGGATTGAGCACTTGATTGGTCACGTTCGAGTATTCTGTATAAGCCACGTACGCATGCTATGGAAGTAGAATGCGGATATATGAATCAGTCCATACCGGCCTATTTCGAGATACTATGGCCAGCAACATTTTGCGCAGCACCTATCGCATCTATCATGAGGTACCTAACAGTCAGAAGATAAATTTGCTTCCAATAAAATATTGAAATTGACTGGTGTCACCTGGCCCTCGTCCAACCGTGCATTCGAATACACTTGACCCATGCAGACCATATTCATAACCGAATGTGGATCAGTGGGAAAATAGAGTATGAAAACGTACACATTGACCGAGAAACACGGCTCTAATCTCGACGTCGAGGGCCCACAGAAATGACCGGTCTCATAGGCATACCGAACCAGACACTACTTGGTATGCGATCTAACAAGGAGTCCACGGTGCCTGATACACGACTCGGGTCGCATCCAATTACATTCAAATTAGCGTTCCGTCGAGGCTGAAGTGAACATGTCGTGACGGCTCTCTCACTCAACTCGCTGATCATTGCGCCCGTCAGCTAGATCGCTCAAGAACCGATAGCTCTCGCTTCGTAACTCACCAATATTTCAATAATCCCAACCAGCAAGACGGCAGCAATTTAGCACGATTCCAGGTTGAGAAAAGTGAAAATATTGTTAAATGACATTTATCTGCTTGTATACAATCAAAACAGCGAGAGTCGAAGAAGTTACGAGGACATGCCACTTTGCGTTGACTCGGACCATACTGAACCGGGGGAGTTCAAACAGCGAGCAGACAGCTAAAACATAGTCTGAATCCTACGGAGTCTAGTAGAAAGCCGTGCAATCACATTGAAGACTGACTCAGAAACCGGGAGACCAGGTTGGCCGCTTCCAGTGCAACTCGTCAGTGCGGGAACTTGAAGCGAACAGGCGTCTAATGCGGAAATTGTCGGTGGAGGGATTGCCATATCGAGGCAAAGGTCTCTGCAGCCGTGCGACGATCATCGTCGACTCAAGTCTCACAGGCATTTCCGGACGGCGATAGAATCACTCAGAATTACTAGAAGAAGGAAAAACCGAAATTCTGGTGTTTTAGTATGAATTGTGGACAAATGTAAGTAAGTCCGTTTGCAAGGTGACCACTCCCCCGAGTCAAACTTGCCAAATGTCAAATATTCTCCTGCCACGACATACAGCACGACCGATGCAGCTGTACTCACGACGACACCATCCGTGACGTGTATTTTGACTGATGATCTATACGTGAACTTCCAGCGACTTCATGACGCGATGTCAGTTTAGCAGGAGCGAGATTCGTGCGTGAAACAGCCAAGAAACAACGGCGAAGGGATATCCCAGTATTGGCCTTCTTGCGCATTGGGTTTGTAGGATAAACTACGCCTTGAGGCTACTTCATTAAATGTCATGCTCTAAGTATATATTACAATTCATGTTCTAGACGAGCCTCTAGACTGGCTTCGAGGATTCAGTCTTCAAATCAAATTTCATCCAACTGACCACGTAAAGCTAAGAGAACAGCATGTGAGGCACTCGCTATCACATCGATAGACGACACAAAACTCGTGGTCACGTCGTTACCCGCGACCGGTGATTCTCGTCGAGCGGATTGCAGCAAGAGTCACATTCATATCGCATGTTCGCGACTTCCATATCTTCAAGCCATTCCATCTACATAGAAGTTGCATAATTCATCAGGAGTCAGACCATTTGAAAGCACGCACGATCTTTCGGTTCTTGTGCATGCACTCCAACGACTCTCCTGCTGGGACAGGTATGTCAAAGGGATTCTTAGCTACTATCAAGTCAGTCGAATCTTGCAAAACGCCTGAACAAGCATAGTGAAGGGTTGGATGTTGAGAAAGCCAGAAATAAGGCGCACTTTGTAAGTATTCAAATCGAATGTGCGCCAATATTGGGCCAAGACCCTCACCAGTCGCACAACTTCGTCGAATATCACGCGGAACTTTGGACACGGGAAGCGCTACTTTTCCTATACTGATGTCATGATCAGCAGGGACAGTAGTTCCAGAGCCTGACACGCACTGAGCATAGTAGGTTTGCTTTGGTCTGCACTTGGATCGGAGAGGTGATGGATCTGGCAGGTACGTTCCAGCTTTACACAATGATCCCTGTAACCTGTACAGTCTGATGATGATCGTTCCATGCAACCGGATAGTAGTCGTTCTTTCGACAACATCAGCTAAACCTGACAGCATTAAAGTGATTTCTCAGACACTGCCAGAACCGCCACTGGAAGTGGCGTACACAGTGTGCGCGCAGACTTCCATGCGAACGGATGGACTTTCCGCGTTTTAGGATCTTGCCAGCCGTAGCTGTTCATAGACGTGATGCCGCCAGGAATACAGAAGTGTTCAAACTGTGACCGCGCATATACTGCATCAGACGAAATGTCGCATTATCATGACATGCACATACTTGAATCCCGTCCATGAATATCTCCACGTATACGCCGCCCCTGTTTTGTCTCGTCTCGAAGCTGAAATAAAACTGCTACAGAAAGACTATAAGAGAATTTAAGCGTAGGCTAATTGCTGAGAAACACACCACACCAGGTGAGCACGAGATTCGACATCTGGTGCCACCGAAGTTCTCGACCACATCACGCTCTTCCACAACACCGCGCTTCGTATGGAGCTTGACTTTCCATCCAGTGGTTCCAAGAGTGGGCATGGCGAGCAAAACACAGTCAAGTCGATACGTCAACAGAATTGCAGCGATGCTAAAGACCAACAAAGCACCTGAATTCGCGGACTCGCCGCACGACCTTAACAGTGACGGTCGGAGCGATCACGCTTTGTTAGGCGAATTTCGAATCAACGGCGCTCCAGAATCGGCCACGAGGAATGATGTGGCGTCCTTCAACGCCTCGCTGCGTGTGTGAATTGGCAGGCAGGTCGAACAAAGGATGAATGCTTTTACTTTTTTTTTTCTAGAGTCCGCCTGAATCGAAACAAAGAGTACACAAAGCACGCATTTTTTGCACTGAGACAGAAAGAATGTAAAGTGGACAGCCAGCTAGTGAGTGGAATCCATTTCCTCAACACCATGGGCCCGGCCAAGCTCGCGGCGCCGTCGATACAACGAATCGCAATAGCGCTCGTCCATCAGTTTTGTGATCACATGACTACATGCAGATTTGCACCCGAGGGATCCGACATGTTCTTGAAACTACTTTCAGTTCCGCAAAACATCTGATCCTGCGGAGACCGTACAATGGAGGCCTTCGACGCATATCAAACACCTCTCTCAAGGTTTTCGCTTTCTATTCTCTTGGAACGCATTCTTACCTTATTCCAGCCGCTATGCGAGCAAAGAGATGGCTCACCTTTTTTCACCTGCCGTGAGTATATTCGTCTGATGAATCGATACACTTGGTGGGAAAATGTTGACGAAAACCAGAATCGCTTTCATACATGGCGAAAGCTGTGGCTGAACCTCGCGATTGCAGAGAAGGAACTGGGTCTTCAAATATCGGACGGAGCGATTGAGGAAATGAGGGCGAACCTTGTGCGTCGTTCGATCTCTCATATCCCGGGAAGCACTGATCTTACTCTCGTGTAGCATCTTACACCAGAACAGTTCGAGACCGCTGCTCAAGAAGAGAAGAAACGTCGTCACGATGTTATGGCTCATGTACACACTTTCGGCCAGGTTGCACCTGCAGCCGCCGGAATTATCCAGTTCGTCATCTCCAAAGATTAAGGAGCTAATCGTGACTTTTTTTTCAACCAAGTCTTGGAGCAACGTCGTGCTATGTCACAGAGTAAGTGCTAATTATGCTCATCGTAAACCCTAACCTTAACCCATGTCTCAGCAACGCGGACTTGATTTTCATTCGCGAGGCCCTTACACTGCTCTTGAAGAAGCTTGCAGTTGTGATTGACCGTTTTTCGGCATTTGCAGCGCAATATCGCGATCTGCCGACGCTCGGTTTCACGCACTTCCAGCCTGCGCAGCTCACGACGGTTGGCAAAAGGACTACGTTATGGCTCCAGGTCAGTAGCATAAGCTTCGTAACTATTTACTGTGGTCTCCTACTTTATAGAGTAGGAACTTTTGTGGGACTTGCGAAACATTAAACGTGCGAGGGATGATATCGGATTTCGAGGTGTTAAGGGGACTACTGGTACACAGGCTAGTTTCCTGACGCTGTTCGACGGAGACCATGATAAGGCGGGTAATTTTGAATCAATCCTGCAAATTATATTCTCACTTTCCGTTCAGGTTGAAGAGCTGGATCGCCTCGTCACGTCACTGTCGGGCTTTGGCTATGCTTATCCGGTCACATCTCAGACATACTCGCGGAAGATTGACGTGGACGTGCTTGCGCCATTGGCGAGTTTTGGTGCCACTGCACACAAGCTTGCTACTGATCTAAGACTGCTCGCAAATCTGAAGGTACGAACCCAGGATACCCATTGAACATACCACATTGATCTCAGAAGCATCGCACAGGAAGTAGAAGAACCCTTCGAATCCACCCAAATCGGGTCTTCTGCGATGGCTTACAAGCGCAATCCCATGCGGTCTGAGCGGATATGCAGTCTGGCTCGACATCTTATGGTCCTCCAACAAAATGCCCTCATGACGTCCAGCGTGCAGTGGTTTGAGCGCACTTTGGACGACAGGTGTGTGCATGATGTAAATCAAATATGTCAGACTGAAACCTGACAACTCATCAGCGCGAATCGCCGCATTACGCTCCCCGAAGCGTTCCTCACCGCCGACATTGTGCTCACAACACTTCAGAATGTGTCGGAGGGACTTGTCGTATATCCAAAGGTCATAGCGCGGCGAATCTCGCAGGAGCTCCCCTTCATGGCCACCGAGAACATCATCATGGCGATGGTCAAGCAAGGGGGCGATCGCCAAGAGGCCCACGAGAAGATTAGGGTGGGCGTCCTGCGCCATCAATGCATCACGCGCTGTTTTCTGATACACTACCAGGTACTTTCGCATGAGGCGGCGCATCAGGTGAAGGCGCTTGGGCTCGAGAACGACTTGATTGCACGCGTGCGCGCCGATCCTTACTTCGACCTTATCAAGTCGCAGCTGGACGAGTTGCTCGATCCGAAGAGCTTCATCGGGCGTGCACCAGAGCAGGTAGACAAGTTCCTCAAGGAGTGGGTCCAGCCTGCGTTGGATGACCAAGAGTTGAAGGCCAGTATACAAAAGGGTGATAAAGCGGAGTTGAACGTGTAGACTGTGACGGGAGTATGAACGATCTAGTCGGCCTTGTATAATACTAGAAGGTAGCTTAGGCACAGGAACAATGTTTTTCTGCTGCCGTGCGGTCGGGAGGTCACAGTTGGATTCCACTTGCCGGGGCGCAGTCTTTGGCAGTTCATGAGGGCATACGTGTGCACTAGGCCTACTAATAGATATATGAGCATGCCAACTGTTTGCCAACCTGATACCATACAGGGCAGGGTCACCGGGGTGATTTCTAGAACCAGAACACAATCACAGTGCGTGAGTAATTTTGAATCAAGCTATTGTTATATCTATGCGTTTGACTCTGTTGAGCCTAGGTAAACGGATGTCTGCATGCAGTCACTGGCCTATTTTGCAGCCAGCAGTGGCCCGCAACGGTGCGCCCGCCACCGGCAGACGGCTGCCGCCACTTAAAATTCAGGCGCTGGACGATTTGTCAGGATGCGATACCAATAAGGGAATCTGTGCCCTCGCGCGGTTACCGCTAATACGGCCTCCGCCGCCTCTTAGTCTTCCTTCGACCGTCACTCCTTCGACCTCGTCGCCGTGCTCAACGACGGCGAGTGTCTCATGTACTTTTGAGCTTCCTGTTTATCTGTGAGCCTCGCATTTTTCTTCGTTGATTTATTGCGTCTGGGTGCCAACTGCCACGCGTCGCTTCCCAGCCCACATCAACCTGTCTTCTGTTGAACTTTCCCTTTACCACCCAGTTAAAACTGCGTCTGCCAGCTCGCCAGCGTGGACAGTCATCCTGGTAAACTTGTCATGGACTCCCACTCCCCCCACCTCCACGCTCCGGAACCGGGACCGTCGCGTCAGGCCACAAGGCCCGTATCGGTCCAGCCGACGACAAGTCCTGCATCACAAGCGCCCTCGAGGAAGCGAGCGTCACATACAGTCGTGACCAGTCAACCACAGCAGGAAGAGCAGCCTGCTTATCGTGATATTTACTCCCACCCTGCTGCACTTGAGTATGCCCATGCACATCCAAGGCGTACAATACCGAAATTTGGACCATATCTTCTGTTGCGGACGTTGGGCGAGGGCGAGTTCGGGAAGGTCAAGCTTGGCTTGCATATGCAATGGGGAGAGGAGGTTGCCGTTAAGCTCATTCGACGTGGCAATATCGATACATCAGTGCGTATGTCGAAGGTGGAGCGCGAGATTGAGGTTTTGCGGGTACGTGGACTGTATATAGCGCAAGCGACACTATGCTGATTAAGTGCACAGACCCTCAAGCATCCAAATATCGTTCGTCTCTACGACGTCATCGAGACGGAGAAATATATTGGCATCATCCTCGAGTATGCATCTGGAGGAGAATTGTTCGATCATATCCTCGCTCACCGATACCTGCGGGAGAAGGATGCATGCAAGCTATTCTCGCAGCTGATATCAGGAGTCTGGTACATTCACCAAAAGAAAATTGTTCATCGGGACCTCAAGCTGGAAAATTTATTACTTGACCGTCATAGAAACGTTATTATCACCGATTTCGGATTCGCCAATCGCTTTGAGCACCGTGCAGATGATCTTATGCAGACAAGTTGCGGTTCCCCGTGCTACGCGGCACCTGAATTGGTCATCTCTGACGGGTTGTACGTTGGTTCTGCTGTCGACATCTGGTCATGTGGAGTCATCCTCTATGCTATGCTGGCGGGCTACCTGCCATTCGACGACGACCCAGCCAACCCGGATGGCGACAATATCAACCTACTGTACAAGTACATCGTCAACACGCCGCTTTCTTTTCCTGAATACATCTCAGCCGAAGCACGAGAACTGCTGTCCATAATGTTGGTTCCGGATCCAGTGCATCGTGCCGACCTCTCGATAATTATGGCTCACCCGTGGCTGGCTCCTTATGCGCATGTGTTTACCAGGAGCGTGGCCGATTTGGAGCGTTCGGCAATAGAGCAACATCATCAGAAGCGACTTGCATACCAGCGCCAGATGAAACAACAATCTGCTAATGACCCCACAGCAAGCAAGATTGCGAGAAGCCAGAGTGCTCGTACAGACGGGTATGTAGGTGATGCGTCTGTTTCATCAATATCCCGGTCGAGGAAGGATCCTCAACCGGAGTATCTATACGAGACATCCGTAGACCAATCTGTCTATTCAACGTCAGGCGCTCATAGTTCTTCTCGTCGTACCGCCACCTCGACAATCGTGCTTCCTACACCACCATCTGCAACAACGGATGACGATCCATTTGGACCTTCACCGTCGGAGGAAGTTCCGGTGACTTTGATGACGTCGCCGGATGACAGCTTCACCGCAGCCAATGACGATCGCGATTACGATTTCAAGAAGCAGTCTATCTTACCATCTGCGGGGGCTCCAGTGAAAATGTCACCGGAGACGAAGCGCACCAAAGGCGGATTCAGGCACACTATTCAAGTGGAGTATGGCGAGTCGGATTCCCGACAAACACCTCACAAAGGATCGAACAATATTACCAGCACTGGACCCTCTGTTGGTCCACCCAATAATGTCCAGGAGCGAGAGTATACTCCACGGAAGCTGCATGCGGAGGTCACGAAAGTTGCTGAGAAAACAACACCTCCGCCGCCTGTATCTACACCCCGGGAGCGCTCTGGGACCATTACGGCAAAATTGCCTGCGGCCACCTCTGCGCCAGTGGTGTCTATCGAAGTGACTGGTCCGCCAGTGTCTCCCGTTGTCTCCGCTGAGGAAAAGGCGCCGTCGAGCTCAGAGAAAACAGACTCTGCTTCGTCCAACAAAAGTCGCCATCGGAAAGGATTGTCTATCGATAAGATTGGCATCTCCAAATTGTTCGGTTCTACGGAGCAGACCCACGGCACTGCTCAGAGGACACCATCCCAAAGCAAGAAGAATTCTCCGGGACGTACTCCCTCCACCGATACCATTACGGCGACCGGCAAGGTGGAAAATGGTAGACGTCCATCTACTCTCCAGGTTCCTTTGTCTCCGACATCGCCATCCAACGCCACCCCGACTGCTACGTCACCCTCTTTGCTCAGTCCTGACGGCTCTGTCAACGGCAGTAAGAAGTCACGCAGGAATACTCTTACTGTCATGGTCGAGCCTCTGAAAAACAGCATCAAGGCACGCAGCAAAGGTCGAGTGGTGACCGCAGAAACGCCCATTAAGGAGAAAAGCTCGACTCTGGATCCTGAGAAGTATGCAAAGCCTTTACCAATAGTTTCCATTCCTCCCACTGTCCCTCATAAATCGCCAGCACCGCAAGCTGTGATTCCCCCGCAGTTTGTCAATACACCTAGGTCTGGACTCGCCGTCCCGGCATCGACGGTCAAGGCTAACAGGGTCATGCAATGGTTCAGGTCTAAGAGCAAAGGGAAGGTCACAGATGACGAGGCGGAAAAATCTTCCGAGATTGAGACCGTTCCACGAGGGACCACTCCCTCATTATCAGACACCCCTGGTTCTGCTACGCCCATTGCCTCTATTCCAGCTCCTGGACATCCTCAACGATCTGCATCGTCCCACACGGAAGCCTCCGTTTCGGGCCCCAACCTCGGTGCTCGTGTGCGTGGAAAGGGACAGTCTGGGAAAAGTCCGCGTGGCTACCTGGATATCCGCACCCATCACGGCCCCCTTGACCAGACGATGGTCACGACAGGCCCGCCTCCGGAGGTCATGAAACACATACGCGCAGTCCTGGAAGGTATGGGAGTAGAAATAAGCGTGGAAGGCGAGTACAAGTATCGCTGTGTGAGGCCCAAGCGGCGAAAAGCGGGAAACGGTGTGGGTCTCGGGCTCCGAGACACAGCGGGCAGTGGTTTGGCCGCGTTTTCGATAGTCGGCTCAGCGGCTTCCAACGGGGTAAGTGAAGCAGGCGGTGATGTGTATTGGAACGTAATTCACCATGTCTTATCAGGTTGATAAACGTGGTCTTCCTCAACCGCCTCAGTCTCATACATCGTTCGGCTCTACCGGTGGCATGCTCAGGGGACTTTTGATGCGTCGCCAATCTTCTCAAGTATCGAACTCGTCGTTGAATCAAGGAGCAGCGTCGCCGACCTTCGAGGGTGATGGGTCAGCGGATGCCCTCATAGCTGCTGCGGTGCCCGATGGCGCCGGCTCAGACGCTCCTGTTGCATTCGAATCGGTGTATGGCGACTCCACACACGATTTGGGGGACGAAATACGTTTCTCTGTCGAACTCACGCGGATTGACCGTTTGGATGGCACGTACAGTCTCGACATCCGAAGGTTGAAAGGTAATCTTAGAAGTTATAAGTTTGTGTATGATACACTCCGACAGTAAGCATTTTTCAACCTTGCTTGTCTGTGTCAAGCGCTGATCGTGGATACCAGGCGCGCCGATCTTCAGCGTGCGGTGTGAGAGGTGGTAGGCGACTCCCGTCTGCCTGTGCTTTGTATACGTCAGGCCTTGTCCATCATTCTGTCCACTCTGTTTCCTCCTTCCGTTCAGGACATTCACTGGTTCGCTAAGTCGTAGATCGCCTCTAATCAGTCGGTGTGCCCCGTCAGCTAATTCCTTTTCTGTTGATGATTTCCTGGATTCTCTTCTTTACTTTGCATTCTCCTTCTGTCTGCATTGCTTGTCCGTCTCTTCCAGCGCCGTGATCGTTCCATTTTGTGAGCATACATACCTAGCTCTGTTTTGCTATGTTCTCGATGTCTTGGTCGCTATACGAGCTCGGGGAACCAGTCTAGTCATACATACATGCCCATCACTCTCTGCATAGTCTCACCTCATCAACTTATATATACCAGAGATCATATTCTTATCCTCCGTTGGGCAGCTGGTCTGTTTGAGTACTACACCTTGAGTTCACTTGGCAGACAATTTCATAGTAACGCCTTTTCCTGTTGTGCGTACGTGAAATTTTCTCTCGTTTTTGTCAAATGTATTGACGTATAGATTAATCTAATTAGCGATCCTTGTGTCGGATGCGCAGTACAACATTGCACGTTGGGCTCAGGCATTCTCGAGTCTGATCATGAGTGGTTTTCTCAGGGATCAGTTTATAGTGCCGTGTGCTAGATAGAGGATAGTATGCGATGTTCACTGGTCGATGTCTACGAATCAATGCTCATCACCCCGTGACAGGTCCGCCGATTGTCCGTTTGAAACGAATTCGGGCTCGCTAAGATAGATGTAATATCAGTTACATATTCAGGTCATTGACGTCGGACGGTTTTCCTCCGCTTGCTGCGGTCACGGTAGTAGCAGCGGTACGGTATCGAATTCAGCCTTCTCTCGTTATAAATCCCTAAGTATTCCGCGCGGGAAATCGCGGGGTTCTTGCAGCATTTGAAAAGACTTGCAAATGGACGACTGGGTTTGGCTGAGCTCTTCGGGGAACCTGAAGTTAAGGCGAACCTATATAGTTTATCTTCGTTGCGCGATTCCCTCGGTTCTAGAGCTTTCTTTCAACAAGGTTCCATATGGTCAGTCATTTTATTTGATTCTGATCTGCTCGTGTAGTCTCACTCAGGGATGCATCCGTTCAATGCGACTGGGAAAATCGGGGCTGAAGATCTCTAAAATCATTCTCGACAGTATGGCATACGGTGCCGAATGGTTCGAATGGCTGCTTGACGACGAAGAAACCATCAAACACACCAAATATGCGTGAGTGCTCAGTATCAGGTACAAGCTAAGCAGCATGGGCTTGTTCGCTAATTGTGGGTCTCATGATATGATTCGGGCATACCGACATTCGATACCTGGACGAGGGTCCGCTTGTTGTTAATTCTTTGCTGGTCAGTCCCAGTCGGCACTTACAATTATACTTGAATGGCCTATCAGAAGATATTCTGGGCAGGACCATCAGCGCCTCAATTTACCTCGTGAGGAGATTGTCGTGATGAACAAGGTATGTACAGCTGACCGATACGGCCACCTACAATGATTTACCGTTGCATACAAATAGTTTAGCGCCATCGTTGCTGACAATCCAGGTGAGATCAACTATGAGCCGCTGAATACTGAGATGGAGAAGAGATATGTTAATCAGACCGAAAGGTACGCGCGTGCGGCTTCTAGGATGGTAAAGTCTCGTACCACGATTGACGATTGACCCAGCACATATTCGCAGCCGTCAAACGGTGCTTGAAGCGCTTGCAGCTGGATTATATTGATGTGCATCAATGCCGTTCACTCTCAGCGCTCATCGAATTTGATCATCGGATTTGAGATTTGTCGTATGACAATGCACCGTCTGCGTGGGTATGGGACTTCCTTGGAAGAAATCTCCATGATCTGGTCAAGACCGGATATTTCCGCTATATTGGAACGAGCTCCTGCTATGCATGGCAATGCGCGTACAATCACGCCAATCCTGCTGCTACGTCTTCTCACAGTAAGGCTCGCCAGTCCATGCACTGCAGAGTGAGTGTGAAACTTATGCAATAAAGAATCGTCTTATGCCTTTCGTCTTCATGCAAAATCATCACAGTTTGATTTATCGTGAAGAGCGCGAGATTTTCCGACGCTGAAGGTCAGCTAACATCGACCCTCCATACTTATGCTTCACTCACAGAAGTCCATAGTACTTTAGGGTTTCAGCAATCCCGTGGTCGTCACTCGGCCACGGCCTTCTTTGCGAGCCTTGCGACAAACATGCTGCTACTTTACGCGGCGAAACCGACCGGTAAGCTGTCGTTCGACTTGCATAACTTGACTATCGGCGGCTGATTGGCGCGCAGATTTTTGAAATATTACGAGGGTCGCACTTCTTTGGAGGATACCTTCAATCGGTGTACCTTATACTATGTGCGGCGTGTACCATCGTCGAACAAAGCTTGCTGCAAAGAGATCGCTAAAGGAGGAGGGGGTTGTCAGTATGGCTCAAGCTGCGATTGCCTAGAAGTTATCCAAGGATGGTAAAAATATGCTCTATATTGGGCACAACTGTGTTGAATTATTATGCCATGTGCATACTTGAATGCAGTGCCACAAGTTGCAGGATGAATTCAAGGGCCCAGGAAACAACACCTTCCAAATCTACTCGAGGTTATATCGTTTCGAAGGTGCACCCCTGGGAATACGGACCAAGCTCATCCCGAATGGTCCACTCATTCTTCTAGGAGGAGTATAAACTATAGAACCGGAAGAACTCGCTTTGGGACAACTGGGACAACTTAAATTTCACCGACGGCTTGTATGGCCTGGGATCCGTAACGAATAGATGGCACACGCGACAGAGAGGAGGCGGAGTGTCCAGCAGCGTTTTGTTGGATTTGTACGATCGATCCACTTCGCTCAGAACAACGCTCAGCAGGCGGTATGGGCTCGAAATTGTCTGGATGGATTTCGAGACCTGAGAGTGCGCTCGACAGGCGTGGCCTTGTGCAGGCAAGCGAGAATATGTGCTCCAATACTTCGACAGGGCAAACGTACATCGTAACACTGTGTATTCATGAGAAACACCATCGAGTTGATTCGATCAGCGTCAAAGTGCCAAGATATCTCACTTTTCAGACCGTTACCAACGAATTCTGGATAAAATAGTGTTTTATAAACCCCACCTCGATGCTGTAAGGTAGAATGAATAACGTGGCGGTTGACAGCAGAGCTAACTCGATCGTTGTGAGGCATTAAAATCGTAGTACACCTTTCAACACCTAAATTGGGGAACCTTAATCATGGTTCGTAGACGCCCAATGCTCATAAGTATCTACATTTGCGTTCCCGTCATGATTAAATCGAGGGCTTAGGACCAAGGGAAGATGCCAGCCATCCGAATTATAACACACCAAAATGTCCCAAGCTCCTCGTGGCGCAAGTGTGTTCGGAAAATTACCATGGCATGTATGCCATAGCGACGTCCGTGTAGCAAGCCTCGAGTCAGAGTCCCATGATGGGCTACATGGTAATATGTTCAGCCTTTAAACTGTGACCAACAGTGAACAAGGCGTACACAAACGGGATCAAAATACATCAATTTCATCCATCACCTCGGAGGGATCGATTTTCCAACAACCTTCCCTGCCCATAATTCGTTGCAGCCAGTCACACTTCGCATCGGCCCACACATGATCATCGCTTGGCTGTCGGTAGCCAGGCTGAGGTAGAAGAAGGGTTAATCTACAGCTTCGGAGCAGTCTCCGCTCACCATATAATCGAATTTGGGGCATAGTCGGCTTCAGTTGATGAGGAGCGAGACGTATAATGACGTGCTCAACACATGGAACGAAGTCCATTTCTGTAGAACTTGCAGGGGCTCCTTGGGCTACATGATCGGTAGGCGGGGAATCAATGATGGGAGCGGACAGCGAGATGTTACGACTGAGATAGAGAGGGGTCAACGCAGGAGCCACACTCGCTTGGACAAAATGCCTGGTAATCTTGTGGCAGCGGACGAGACGCAGATGGCGTAGTGATGGAAATAGCACTTTTGTGCTCAAGGTAATAGGCGAGGGTAAGGAGAGAAAGGAAGAGGAATTAATGATTGTGAGTTCTTCCAACGCGGGAAGAGGATTGGCGAGTATGTGCGCGAATTTAGGCATTGTGAGAGTTCGTAGATGTGACGCTGTGAGTTGCAAGATGCGATCAAGGGCCTGAACAGCTGCAATATCTAAATCCGAGTAGACTTGTGTGAGCCGATTACCCAGTCCAAATATTGGGCGAAACTTGTGCAATAAGTTCTCCTTGTCTTCAGTGGAGAAAGAGTAGTGAATGAGGATACGAAGAAGCTCGTCCTGGCGTAGTTGGGACAAGTCTGGTAACTCATCCAGCGTCCGATGTGGGCGGAGATCGGAGATGAATAGGTTTTGCACCCGACGGAGTGGGGGCGACATCCGCTCAAACATTTCTTTGAATTTGTACACCGCTGCCCACCCGCAGAGCGTAACACTCTGTAGGCGGTATGGGCCCGAGGACCGTCCTGATAAACCTCGAAACTTGAGATAAAGGTCGACCAGTGAAACCGTCATCTGTACACGCCAGCGAGAATATCTGCTCCCATATCTCGATGGGAAATTGGCTCATGCTGAACCCAGATCTCATTAGCAAATTATTCACCAGTATGCGATGCAAAAACACGAAACATACCTCACTTACAGAGGATGGAAGTGCTGCTGGATCAGCTCAAGCTCAGTATTTTTAGGTGGGCGTAACAGCTTTCACGATGCACTCGGCGAGAGATAAGAGGACGTGGACCTCGCCGGCAGGCGCTAATTTATGTACATATTGTGCCTGAATTTCGGTGCTCGGCGTGAGCCTCGTGCGTCTGCCATTGTACATTATGTTCTTTTACATTTATATCATACAACAACAAGAACATGTCCACCGTCAGGCCTTGAAGTCTGAAGCTTACGGTATCGGCCATAGTCTGCCTCAAGTGAGTGCGCAGGACGCAAGAGCCTGAGGGAGTATACAGTTGCGGCAGCAATTAAAGTTATATAAACACAAAAAGTCACTTTATTTACGCTCACTTTCTGAGAATGCGACGTCCGGACTTTGCTCAATGGCACACGTTCTCTTGCTCCGAGCATCGAATACCCCCGACGCCTACGAATATGCGTTCAAGTCCCGAGGGTACAATCCCCTCTCCGTCCCCGTCCTCGAGACCACGTCCACATCCTTGGATCGTCTCAAAGACACCATCACCGCGGGCCTCAGCAGGTGCGCGTATGCAGGCGTGGTCATCACTAGTGGACGCTCCTGCGAAGCTTGGAAGACCGTCGCGGGGCAGCTCGCCCAGAGCCATGGAGACATAGAGGGGGGAAACTCGGGTATGTCGGTTCTCTTCCTACAAGTGACGTCGTGAACGACACCACCCACAGCCACATGGGCCGACATTCCCTTCTATGTCGTCGGCGAGGCCACCGCGCGCGCCCTCGCCGACATCGGCGCATCCATCGGCGCGCACCCCTTTGTACCCCGGGACATCCGTGGTGCCGCCGAGTCTGGTACAGGCGAAAAGCTCGCCCACTTCATCCTCCGCGACCTTGCCCCTAGCCCTGAGGGAAAACGTCTCCTCTACCTCACCGGTGACAAGAACCGCGATACGCTTCCGAACATCCTTGCTAGCGGCGGCGTCGCGCTCGACCCGCTCCAGGTGTATGCGACGCGCGGCTCGTCAACGTTCCACATCGACCTCGAGCGGGCGGTTCACGCGCATCCAGCAAGTGTGTTCAGCTGCCCCCGGCGCATCTAGCGGTATGCTGACCGTGGTTCGGAGCAGGCATCTGGTGGATCGTTTTCTTCTCTCCCTCCGATGCCGACTTCGCATCGCCCGCTCTGCGCGAGCACTTTGTCCTCCCTTCAACAGACTCCTCCGAGCTCTCCCCCCGGATCGCTGCGATCGGCCCAACGAGCGCGCGCCATTTGGACGACAAGCTTGCCATGCGGGTGGACGCTGTTTCGTCGAAACCGAACGCGGAGGCACTCGCCGCATCAATCGCCGGGTTCGATGCCTCTATCAGCACTCGAGTACCATAGTCCTCGCACTTGTCACTCTCATTGTATTCTTAGGTCAATCACAAACTATAGTATTGCAATGACGCCGAGAGGAGCAGCGTACGGTGAGATCAGAGAGCGTGGAAGGGTTGCGCGGCGTGGCGGCGGCTATATCGGTGCCACTGTTCTGCAAGACTAGCATCTGTCTTCAGAAGCCGGAGGACGACCTGGCGAGTGGACGGTTGCACGGAGAGCATAGGACATACCAAACCACGTTGGTGGGCGAAGATATTGGTATAGTTCTGGGGTTTTATGATGTAAGATCTCGGGAAGGCGCTTTATAACGTGCAGAAGATTATCTTTCTATCTATCGCGAGTACATATACAAGGGAGAAGAATCATCGGGAATGAATGGTGGGTAGGCTGAGTTTACCATAATCATGTCAATCAGGTCCATCATCCCTCGGTGCTTATTCAGTCATTGCAAACGGGTCGTCACCATCGAGCCCTTGCCTCTCTACAGACGTCGGAAATACAAACCGCGGTGCGTCCATCTCAACTACCAGATGGCGAGCCTGCGATTCGCTGTCGTCCAAGCCCGCCGCAGCGTAGGCGTTCACGAGCCCCGAGCGTAACGAAAGCCTGCTGAGGGGAGACGAACCCGTCAAGAGCGACTCGACGGATCCGATTCTACAGGCAGACGGCGCAGAAGACATGCTGATGGCGCCCATCGACGAGCGATGACGATACTCCGCGAACAGCACACGATCAGGCGAGGCGAGGGGCACCTCGCCGAGCCCGTCGTCCTGCAGTAGCGCTGGGTCGATCTGCCCGTATCCATTCTCCGCATATGTCGTTGCCCAGTGGTCAGCCTCCGAGCCGCGGGACCACGTCTGCATTGGCGGGAGGGCCAAATGCGGTGAGTAGAGCTCGAACGGCGCGCGGGGCTCGAAGCGCGTCGCAGGATCGAACATGTCCGTCGAACCCTCAGAGAGGACCTTCGTTAGTGGAGGGAGCACGATCTCGCGCTCGCGTAGCAGAGACTGCTCCAGCGGTTCGTCTGCGCTAGCCCACCGTCGCATCGGCGCGAGTTCATAGTATGTCTTGTCGTAGCCAGCCTGGGAAGAGGCGTTCGAAACCAGAGTAGACGAGCCGTGTGAACTGCCAGACATAGACCAGTGTTGCCCTTGACTGTCATACAAAGCAGGGTCCAGCCAGGGATGCAGTCCAGGCATAGCGTGCAGCGGGACAGGCGAATGCAGGAAATCAGGCTCAAAAGCAGGCTGCCAAGTAGTTGTCCGAGAGCTGGAAGGCGCTGCGTCGCGGCTGATGCCTTCGGCCACATGCGGCGGGATGCAGTGTGCCAGAACGTGCTTTGCCTCATCAGGGTACTGCAGCACGAGCTGCTGCACCTCGGCCACCAGCTTCTTCTCCTCTTCAGTGAACACGGGCGGAGCAGACTTGCTGTCCTCTCGTGCACAGACTGCCAAGACGAGCTCCATGCTGCGCGTCTTCTTGAAAATGCAAGTGGGACAAGCCCGGACAAACTGCGAGATGAGCTCCTTCGGTATCCAAGAGTAGTGCTCGCGGATGACCGCAGTTGTCTTGTCCCGTCCGCCATGGTTCGCCAGGCTGTGGCAGTAGCAGAGAATCTCGTAGATCTGGTCCTTCAGCGCAATGGGGCGGTTCTCGTGCAAAACGATAGGCATCGGAGGAGAACCCAGAGCCTCAATGCTCTCGATCTCGGCGGGGGTGAGCAGTGAGCGCGTATAGGACAACGTGAACATCTTCCGCACCCACCAGCGAAACTGAGGAGTGCCAACGCGTGATGCGGTCGGGTCATGAAGTACGTCCCAAATGTTGTCGAACATAGCCTGCGTGAGGAGCGCCTTCTCCCGCTTGCGGACATGCAGAGAGGAAATGTATTCCTCTTCGATAATCTTGTATTGCGTAGGGGAGGGCATCCCGAGATCAGGGTGCAATTCCGAAGGTGTCTTCTCCTTGCCCTCCTCGTCGTCTTGCAACTCCAAAGTCCCAGAAGGCTTAGTCACGGCAGGTCCAGTCATGGCAGGCCTCTTTCGCTTGCGTGTTGGGGTGCCCTTGACTTCGTACGGTTTGGTATTGTAGCCCGCTGCACGCCTGCGCTCCTGGCGTCTGACCCGCGGGGATGCCATGCTGAAAAGAAAAAATAGATGATCTATATCGCGGAGGGATGCTCAAATTGATATTACTAAGTAATAGATTATGGCTGGCAGCAATGAGCATAAGCTACACCGCGATTCTATACACGGCACTCACCTAGTTTGTGGGAAGTTGAATTATAGAGGTCATAAGATAGATTGTATCCGAACTGTTCAGATCGCGCAACGCACGACTTGTACCAGTCCTCGAAGCGAAAGGAGAGGGACAATAAGTAGTTTGGGATGAGGCTGACACGCGCTTAAACTCTGAACCCATGACCACGTGCCGTGAATCCTCTTTTGGCAATTGCACTGTTGCAGAATAGTGCCCGAAACCTGATACGACCGGCGTCTACCCTCCGAGTTCAAACTTCAATGGAACTTCCCAATTGCATTGGCAAGCTCAAGATCTCACTCACCGCTGAGAGTCCAAGTCACGTTATTTTACTTTGCGAAACTGGTATGTAAAATCGTCCATGAGTCTGAAAGTGTTATTTTACACGTAGCACCTTTATGATGATTGCTGCCTGAACTAACGCCGTGGAGCAAATACCGTGACGCCGCCCTCAGGCTGTTACTTGTTCCCCATGGCCAACGTACGATCATCCATCGTCAAAAAAAAAAAAGATTTTGTTCAACTGTTGACGCTAAATACTTATTGCAGAATCCTGTCTATGAACCATTCGTAATACACAGCTTCACTCTGCAACCGTATTCGGCTGGAAGGGGAGAAAGCTATCGAGCCAAGGATCTCAAGTCGATATCTGTGCGAGATAGAACCGCAAACCTGTCAGCTGTGAGAACACCTGCGCTGCGTATCTATGCTCAATGCACGTATCATTGGTGAGGACCGTCGGTTCCTTCCTTACTCTTATCATCCTCGCACCTCGATAAGGTATTTCTTATGGCTATAAAGGAATAGAATGCTCCACTGTTTGTTGCCGAACGCTTCTACCAGCAAACCGTCGCTCTTCTCGATTTGAGCTTTGTCTATGGCTACCTCTGAAGGCGCACGCGTACTCTCTGAGGGCACCGGTTACGGTGTCGTGCTAGGCATCGGCTCCGTCTTCGCGCTGCTCATGATGGCGCTCTCAACATTGCAGAACCGGTACACATCCTACAAGATCGCGACATCGGAAGAGTTTAACACCGCCTCGCGATCTGTCAAACCCGGCCTCATTGCTGCGGGTATCGTCTCCGCATGGACATGGGCCGCAACGCTCCTCCAGAGTTGCACAGTCACGTATGAGTATGGCGTCGCAGGCGGGTTTTACTACGCGGCGGGCGCGACGCTGCAGGTGTTTCTGATGTCCATCCTCGCGGTGCGCGTGAAGATGATTGCGCCATACTGTCACACCTATCTAGAGATCATCCATGCTCGCTACGGTGATGCGGCGCACTTTGTATTTGCGACGTTCGCGCTTGTCACGAATCTCATTGTGTCCAGCATGCTCCTGCTCGGCGGTAGCGCAGTCGTGAACGCGTTCACCGGCATGAACATCTATGCCGCGAATTTCTTGATCCCGATCGGCGTCATGGCGTATGTGATTCTTGGTGGCCTCCGGGCAACCTTCCTGTGTGAGTTTGATTACGTCAATAGGCCCGTTAGCCACTGAATTGAGTTATTTGGTACTGCAGGTGACTATTCACACACGACGATTCTCATGATCATTTTATTCTATTTCTTCTTCTATACATACACCGAGAGCGAGTTGATCGGTGGTATGGAAGGCATGTACCATTTGCTCGTAAAAGCGGCAGAAGAGCGTCCGGTAACCGGCAACAAGAACGGGTCATATTTGACTCTAAAGTCAAATAGTGAGCCTCGTACTATTTTTCTGCTAATTTTTATAATTTGTCTCTCCTAGACGGTTTGGTGTTTTTGATCATCCAGATGTTCGGTGCATTTGGCAATGTGACTGTGGACCAGGTTGGCTCAAGCATTATGCGAATATCGCATTCATTTGACTTACAGACTATAGGGATACTGGCAACGCGCAATTGCTTCGGAAGCGAAGACGACCATGTATGCATACCTTATGGGAGGCGTTGCGTGGTTTGCTGTTCCCATGTCAATGTCAACAGTGATGGGTTTGTCTGCTGTTGCACTAGCAAGCAGTACGTGCCATCTGTTTTTTGACTCATGAAAGTCTAAAGTGTCACAGGCACAAACTTTCCGTACGCTGGCGGACTATCAACCGCAGAGATGGACGCTGGATTGGCTGCGCCCGCTGCTGTGGTCACTATTCTTGGCAAAGGAGGTGCTGCCGCCATGGTGAGCCTGCTATATGCGCCTTTTCCCTCACGTTCTGACTTCGTGTATCTTCCAGTTGATTTTGCTTTTCATGGCTGTCACTTCGGCATCATCGTCTGAGATGATCGCAACGTCGTCTGTACTCACATTCGACATTTACCAAATCCATTTCAGGCCTGACGTCGGTGTTTTGCGCAGCACCGTGTTCAGAGAAAATTCACACTGACTCTTGTATCTGTTCCAGGCATCACCTGAGCGTCTCATTCGCGTCTCACATCTCATGGTTTTTTTCTGGGCTCTTGTCATGTCAAGCGTTGCCTGTATCTGGAATGCAATTGGCCTCTCGCTCAATTGGCTCTATCTCTTCTCTGGGACGATTTACACTCCCGCCGTTGGCCCAATTGTGCTGACCGTGCTTTGGCGCAAGCAAACCCGTAGGGCTGCCATCAGTGGTGCACTAGGAGGCTTGGCAGTTGGCGTGATTAGCTGGCTTGTTGTAGCAAGGACCTATTATGGCGAGTTGACTATGGCGAGCACGGGTAAGCATATAAAACCTTTGTTTTATAGCACAATTTAAGCACTAATATATTACACGTGAACAGGTGCGCCTTATTCGATGCTAGCAGGCAATATGGCATCATGCCTGGCCGGATGCATCATCTCGACAGTCGTCACCTGGATAAGGCCCGACACCGAGTTCAATTGGTTGGAGACAAAGAAAATAAACCCACGCGGACGTGCCCTGGACCAGCGAGAGTTGAGGCAGGCACGAGTATCGCAGGCAAGCGAAGACGGAAAATCAGAAACCGTTCAGATTGCCGAATCGACAGAAAAGGACCAGGAGAACGAGGCAAAAGTCGAAGATCAGGAGGTGCCATTGCCCCCTGCCGAGGACCAGCCTGCACTCGAGAGCTATGACTCGCTGAAAAGCTCGATCAGAGCCGCTTCTTGGGCTTCGTCCGTGATGAGCTTTATTGTAATCCTCGTGAGTTAGGCGTAGCAGATACAAATATCGATGGGATACTGACACAGTTTGCGAGGAAGCTTATACCCATTCCGCTATTTTTCTCGAGTTACGTATTCTCGCTGAATTTTTTCAAAGCGTGGGTCATCATCGGGATTATTTGGCTCTTCGTAGCTGCATGTATCACTTCCATACTGCCGTTGTGGGAGAGCCGCGAGGCGATGATGGACATTGGCGGCGGCCTGATGAGGGATGTGTTCAGAAGTGGGAGCAAATCTAGGAAATGTCCAGCTGAGGTGTAGCCAGACTTGTTAGGTCTGAACAGTGTTGTTTGCTGTTCATGCCTGATGTCTACGACATCACAATAGTGCATGGCCCATCGCAACTCCAGAAAAAGTGCTGCATAGTTGCTATGATAGGTGCAGATTTAAAACTCAATACTCATGCTTAGATCATTGGCGTCCCCTTATCGCATAGCATAGAATTGTAAAATAGAAGAAACTGCTGGGAGGGCAATCATAAATCTTGTTCTTAAACATTGAACGAGATCGTAATGGGATACAACCCGGTGAACGAGTTTAACAACTATGTTTCCAGAAATCCTCAAGGCGCCTGCGCGATCTGGGGAACTCGTTGTATTCTAAGTCGTCGTTCTCGTGCGTTGAGCCCTCAGATATGACAGGTGCATATTCTACTCCCCCTAGCCTTCACTCAAAGCAAATCGTTGATATCCAGGACAAGGAAGCTATATATTCTCCTTTTTAAATCGCCGCTTTATTCAAGCACTCCTTTCCTCCGGGAAAACGCACGGACCATCCTTGCTTCGTGCCGCTGGCAGTGGCTGACATGGGAATGCATCCCCAGCCTGTTCAAGGCCATGACTGTCCATAGTCTCTTGATCTTCCTGGAGTTATTGTACTAAGTAGTGTGACTACCTTTGCCGAGTGTGGCTCAGCGCCGGATGAATTTGTTGGTTCAACTTGAACTTGAACCAATAAGTATGTACTTAGGAGATTATTAAATTCTGAGATCTAGCGTCGGCGGTCGCCGATGGCCCGAAAGCCGGCCGGCAACCTCAGGCTGCGAGCTTGAAGTCATCTGCGTCGTTCCCCGACTGTTCGCATAAATTCGTCCCACAATGTCAAAAAAGGAGAAACCATTGTTTTCGTTGATTGCGGGCACCACAGCTGGCGCGATAGAAGCGTGAGTAGCGTCCAAAACTCTGCTCGGAGTGCGCATTGAGCCTTATATTCAGCTGAGCACACAGATTCGTGACCTATCCCACCGAGTATGTCAAAACGCGCTCGCAGTTCAGCGGCAAGGTATGTATTTTATGTGACAAGTGCCCAATTGGCGCAACGCTGAGGTCGTAGGTGAACGATAGAAAGAGGGTCCATGGACTATCATCCGGTCGACGGTGCAACAGAAGGGGTTGACAGGTCTTTATTCTGGGTGCATGGCGTTGGTCATTGGTACGCATTATCGGTGACATTGAATCGCATGAATTTATATCGGATACACAAGGCAACTCCCTGAAGGCGGGTGTGAGATTCGTGTCGTATGACCACTTCAAACATATGCTAGCGGATGCTGAGGTGAGAGACACAACGTCATCCGTTTGATTTCCTCTAATGCTTCTTCGCATTTGAGGGCAAAGTGAGCGCGCCAAGGAGTCTTGCAGGTTCGTGCTGAATCTTGTCCATGTTTCTATTGACCTATCGGTAACGCTGTTAATGTAGCCGGACTTGGGGCCGGTATGATGGAGGCCATTTTCGCTGTTACTCCATCAGAGACGATCAAGTGAGCATATGTATTGTGTCTCACAACTCAGCCACTACAACAATGTGAAGGACGAAAATCATCGATGATGCGAAGAGCCCCAGCCCCAGATTCCGGGGGCTCTTCCACGGCACGGTCACCATCGTACGAGAAGAGGGTCTCAGCGGGATTTATAGAGGGCTTTTCCCTGTAGTAAGCGCGTTTTCTCGTTCGCCTCATATCCATATGCTGAGTGTGTTTTTCTCTGCAGATGATGCGCCAAGGTACACAAACGTCGCATACATGCACTGGGCATCCCTATTGACAGCATTTTACTGATAGGCGCAAATTCCGCTGTTCGATTCACGACGTACACAACCCTCAAGCAATTTGTCCTGAGTAACGCGCGACCGGGGCAGAGCCTCTCGAGCGGAATGACGTTCGGCATCGGCGCGGTCGCGGGACTGGTCACAGTGTACACCACGATGCCACTCGAGTGGGTTTTATTTCCCATTTCACCCATTTTTATTGACATCCCGCTCTCCTTCGCAGTGTCATCAAAACACGGATGCAATCCCTCGAGGCGCGCCAGGCATATCGCAACTCGTTCCATTGTGCATACAGAATCTTCACAGAAGAGGGTATCACACGATTCTGGACGGGAACGACGCCAAGGCTGACACGATTGGTGGTGAGCCTCTACTGTTGTTGGTTTACTGCGTGTGACTCACGAGATTGTTGTCGTTGTAGTTGAGTGGAGGCATTGTATTCACAGTATATGAACAGATCATCTCGCTCCTTGGAGGACGAGCAAGTCAGTAATTTTTGGAATAAGATAGTTGTTCCTGTCTCGTCTAACACTACACTCGGCATTGTGCTTTCTTTGTGAGATCATGTGGCGATGTCCACTGGTTCATTTTCTTTACACAATGCACTCAGTTCAGTGGCTAATTTTACGACATGTCGCTACACTGATATCATACAGCAGGTCTCCCAATTCCATCTTGTGGCTCGGCTTTTCCATTGTTTTAGTGGAAGTAGTCGGTACCATATGGCACAACTGAGAACCAAGCATCATCCAAAACTTGGATGATTTCGTCCGCTGCAAATTAACGTCAACATTGGAAAATCATGTCGGTCATTTTCAAACCGACTCACGCAAGGGACCCTTCTCCAAGTCGATTAAGTTCTTCACATTTCGTGTGAGCAAATCTGGTGTACACATTCAACACGGTACGCACCTGCTCGATGTGGTTCAAGCTGGACGCGCCAATGAGGACGGCGTCCCCGTGCTCGCGTTTCATGAGACTGTGGTGTGAAATCCAGCGGAGTGCTATTTCAGCCAACGTCAGATTGTGCGCGGTCGCAACAGCTTGAATGGCAGCAAGTGCTTTAAAGTGGGGTTCGTTCCAGTACCTATACGGAGTCGTCAACGAGTAAGTAACTGTCCGGCTGGTGGGACTAGAGGAGAAGGATCGTGACGCACCGCGCCCGGTAGTTCTGTCATGAGATGGAAGATGTCAGTATTTGACGTGTCAGACGGGCTCAACACGTACTTTGCCTTGGCCCTTTGTAGGGTCGAACCGTGATCCAGGCTCCACCTGCTCGTCAGCGGAAGAATAACGCCCGGTAAAGAAGCCACCACCGACTGTAAAACTATCAGATAAAAGATAAAAGACGGATGCGCCAGTATCGTGGACATACGCGGGTTAAACTCGTAGAAGCTAATGCCATACTTTCGAAGGCACGGGAACAGCTCGGGCTCGACTTTCCTGAGATCAGAATACGATGGAAGATTGAACAGTCTATTAGTGACCGAGTAGTGACCGGATAAGGATGGTATGCGCACCTATGAATGGCATTGTAGATGCCCTGGTACGCTGTGGGCTGGATGTATCCATTCGCCCTGCAGATCTGCACGATCTCGGCGACCTCCCAGCTGTTAAGTGTGTGAGATTCTCCTGTTTGCGGATTGGCAAATCGCTCACGCCATGTAGTTGCTAATCCCGAAACGCTTGAATTTTCCCTCCTTGTAGAGCTCGTTCACGGTTTTCAGAGTCACTTCGTATGGCGTGGTGCGGTCGGGGCCATGGAGGTACCACATTTCCAGCTGACTATAGACAATTGAGTTCACGCGGGAATCAAGAGAGGATGCTCGTGTACTCGGTGTTTAGCGCCTTCATGGAGATTTCGAGATACTTTCGCAAGTCCTGTAGCGTAGAAGATTGTGATGATTTGACCAGCCCTTATTGTCAAAGTGCATACCTCCGGAGAGTGAGAAATCAGATCCCTGTCAGGGTTTTGAAGACGCTTGTTCGACTAGAGCAGGGGGGAAACCGTTAACATTGCGTTGAGGAAACGTGTTACGGACAGACGTACGACATTAGGATAGAGCTTTGTCTCAATCTTCAGTCCGCGTTTTCTCCAATCGACTTTGCCTATGTATTGCTCACTGGTGCCGCCAGTGTAACCGCGAGCGGTGTCGATCTGTTCGATTTGGATGTCAAACGTCTTCTATTCAGCACGAAGGGAATGATTTTTGTACTTCGCTGTGTCCATGAGCTTGGAAGACATCTAGGATGGCTTCTACATCCTTAATGTTGTGCACTCTCGCGCCTAAGTGCAAGTTGGTTCGTTAGACAAAACATACACTGGAAAGTCTCGACTCTCACAAACCTTCTTTCCCCGCCTCACCGAACGTCATGGCACCCTATCCATGCAATGACATGCTTAAACATTCCCCCCTCACTGTAGAGAGACGACATTACCATGACGATGTTCAACGCGCTCTTCTGTTGGACCATGGTGGAGATTGAGTGAAACGTTGAGGACAAAGTTCAAGCCTTTCCAACAATCATCTCAGCCAAATATATAGTCGGCATATTAGCATGAGACCAGCTTACTCACAAACCCTCCGGACTTTCTTGCCAGTCATGCCGAAACCAGGAAGCTGGCTTGCCTAGTACACGTGGCACAATTGCATCATATGCACCGCTGTCAATTCAGGAGCTGCGATGCAAAAGCGATAAATAGTCGAGCGTATCTGTATTGGCCTAGGCTAAGCTTGAGGTGAAACTTAGATTGAGCCCCACTTGAGCCGAGCGGCGCTAGATGTTATGTTAGGCTTAGCAAGCCATGGAATTCTGGAAACCGGTTGACCCACGCTTGCTTGCTCATAACCGAGGCAAGCCCGAACGTACTCTAGCGAGGGGATTGGAGGACTAAGTATCTCACCGGTACCCCACATTCCAACTGATCTGAAAAAATGCTGCATCTTAACTGAACACTGGATAGCACGTCAGCATGCCGCGGTCGAGGTATGATAGATAATAAGCATCATATATCAAGATACAGATTATTGTTCAGGTACGTAGCTTTATAATGACTATGACGTCAGCGACCCCAGGAGCCAAAAAGAACAAGGACCATAAACAAATTTTAGCATAAAGCAGCACATACTATACTTCAACGCAGAAGGCCGGTGTCCATAACCCGCTGAAACTGCATTCATCTCTCGTATCGTCTTGCTCAGACTTTCGATTGTAAAAAAGTAAGATTGAACAAGTGCAGCAACTCCATTCAGATAATACATGGTAACAGTAACCCAGAAGTAACCTGTTCAGCGTGAAATGCGACGTCTCCACGCGCGAGGAAGTTCACTCACTATGAGCTTGATTCAGATGACCAGTGCTGATCACGGTAGCCCTACTTCTTCCCTGAAGCCGCTTCATGTTGCTTCTCTAGCTCAGCCTAGAAGCACAACAATCCGCAACATTCAAAAGAGGTGAAAATAACAACTTACCAATTCCGCTTTCTTCTTCTCAATCTGGGGGAGGACATTAGTCGCGTTCATGAGAAAGCGAACTTTTCGGGACGCACCTCCTTCCTTATCTTCTTCAACTGCGCAGCTTCATGCTGACGCGCATACTGGTCTGGAGTGGCAAATGGTTATATATACGTGTGTCCGTCTCGCACTGCCATGCTCACCTTCGTGAGCCTTCTCCTTTTTACTACAAGGGGTGAGAACCTGCGTGCATAGTTGGAAGCAGCTAGACTCACTTGAACGAATCTTCAGAGTAGAGTCGCACTGACGCGGGCGCAGCACGCGGGAGACGGCGGACAGAGGTGGTGGCGATTCTGGCAAGCATGGTGAATAAGTCGAGCAGAGTGGTGCGTCTGGGGTTTTATGCGAACACGAACGCGCACGGCACGCAGCCGCGCTTCGCTCTCGGTTGGCCTCGGGCGCGCGCGTGACGTGGGTCACGTCACACTTTTGCTCTTGACCATGTCGTCCGCTGTCCTCAGGCAGGCCTCCCGCGCCGTATGTTTTCTTTAGACTCGCTCCTGGGCCCGCATCTGAGTGTAATCTGACACAGACTCGCACGATCTCCCGTTCCTGCGCGTTCTCAACGTCCGCTGTTGCGCGGAAAGGTACGTGACAGGTGGTCAGCTGGCACACGGTACAGGCCAACTTACCTCTGCGCCGCCCGCGCAGATTTTATCCAGGACCTCTACATCAAGGAACTGAAGGGATACAAGGCGCCGCCACCTGTGAGTATCCTCGTCGGTCTGCAGGTAAAATGTCGTTCATGCATTGTGTAGGCCAAGGATGCCCATGTAGGCGCCGTCAAAGCGTACTCGATCCCGCCTGCGCCTCAGCCCCCGACTGTTCCCGTCGACCTTGCAGCGGAACTTTCTGCTTATGATGCTGTGGATCCTGTCGCTGCTGGCGAGGCCACGACCACCACCACGTCGACCGAGGAGCTCACAACGGGTGCCGATACTTTCCTTGCGTTCTTGGAGGCGGACGAACCTAAGGCGGAGGTTCACCATTGATTTCAGAGAGCGTCTGCTATGATGTCAAAATAGAATTTGTTTTTACTGCAACAGTGTGTGAGTGTTGCCTGCTGCGAGGTATGGTTCATATGGCCGGATGAATACGGCTATACCCGTTCTAAATCCTCAGCTTTGTGAAGTAGTCTCGCATTCACTTCCTCGTCTGCTTGCCTACTCGTGCAACTACTCGAGTGAGGAAGTAGTTTTATGGCGTTTCGGCTCGACTATGCCAAACCTTCACGAAGAATTATTGGTTCTTCGAATGTCTGCCTTACCGTAGGGACCCCATGCCATTCAGCAATAATCTCCGCGATGATTCGCTGCCTGTCAATCCTTGCTCATTGGGGCTGCCGTCGCCCAATTGGACAAGCCGAAAGTGTTTGTGACTCTGACTGGGGACACGGACTTGGAGCATTTGGATACTTGAGACCGAGAGCGTATTAAATCTTGACATATTGTTGACGGTGGTCAGCAGAGTGATCAAACTGAAAGGATGTCTGCAGGCATCTATCCACTTGAAACCCATTCTACAGGAGCACACTCATAGTACATATTATAAGCCTATCAGCAACAAAGCAGCCATCATCTTACAGCATAGTACACACGAACAACAAGAATAGAGGAACATCGGAACGCTGTCACCGTCCTTTGAAGCTGCAGACTTGAGTCGAATACATTTATGGAACGGCGTCGGCCTTTTTCGGGCCTTTGGCGGCAGTAAGGCTCTTGTGAATAAAAGGTAGGACACCTAGAGGAGTGGTCAGACCTGTCAGTGCTTGGGAACAAACTGGAAGACTTGCCTCCACCCGCTATCGTGGCGCGGACAAGGATATCGAGTTCCTCATCGCCACGAATGGCTAGCTGCAAGTGCCGAGGTGTAATGCGCTTCACACGGAGATCTTTTGAGGCATTCCCTGTTGTGACCGAAGGTGTATTAGCAACAGCATGGCTCAGTGGAGAGGAACACAAGCGGAGGCTCGAGACTTGATATCAAGGTCACACAGCAATAATCCACGGGATGATTCAAGTAACAATTGCTTACCAGCTAACTCCAAGACTTCTGCAGTCAAGTACTCAAGGATTGCAGACGTATATACAGCCGCCTTTGCCCCTATACGAACGTTGTGCTGTGTGCGCTGTTTAAGATACCGATGGATACGGCCGACAGGGAACTATGGATGTTGGATGAGTACACATTTCTAAACGCCATAGGAAGGTCCGAGGGGAAGCAGGGACCGCTTGATCTGTTCCGGTACGTAGCGATGAGTAACAACGTCCATACCTGCAAGCCGGCCTTCTCACTCCGTGTTTGCAAAGTTCGCTGTTGTTGCGGTGCAGGCTCAGGCTGATCTTGTGTCGTCGCAGATGCAGCTGTTGCCGTTCCCCCTTTCCTCTGTCCTTTCTTCGGCGGCATTTTAAAGAGGGCTAGGACGCGCTAAGTGGAGTTCGATGTGCAGGTGGCTTTGACGCAAGTAGCAAAGGCTGAATAAATAAACAGCACGCGCTGGCTGATATCCGATGCAGAGGGGATCAGGATCGCCGGAGGACACGCGCAAGACGCGAAAGTGGCTGAGATGGGGGTTCTGGGTTAAGAGCCAGAATCGCGACTCAACAGAGGGGGCGCGGTCACATGATGCTATTTGTCTTGCACAAACATGAAAGTGGCGCTAATGCGAATTGAAATGTCTTCGTCCCAGATTTTCGTTGCCAGGTATCATCCTCTCTGCCTTCCTCCGTCCTGAAGCTTGCCTGTGCGACTTGTCTGCTACCCTTCTGGACCTGGAGAGATGATTCCTCTGACGAGAGCTAGCGGTGCTCGCCGCATGGAGACGACTTTGCTGTCGTACTCCAGGCAAAACCTTCCTCGACCAGCACGTCTCTATTCGACTCCTTCAAAACGGGCGAATGCCCCGGCTCTCGCGACAGCGACACAACCTCCGAGTGGCTACCCTCCGTATATGCCTACCGCACAGCCTACAGATGCATCCGTAAACGATATGGAGGGCTTCTTGCGGCGCCGGACATCTTATACCATGCTCCCAACGCCTCTACCAGACGACGAGACTAATCCGCTGAACGATTTTTACTTCACGGATTCGCCTACTCAAGACTTATTATCTGTAATGGATGCTTGTCTGCATAACCTGTATGATGTGCCTCGTGCGAAAGGCATCTTCGAGCGTCTACGGGCCACGGATAAAGGCGAGGTACTCTTAGACTCGCGAGTTTACAATTCGTTTATAGAGGCGTTCTTGGAGATGGCTTTGGACAAGGATTCTGATCAGCCTGCGGGGTGGGTAGAGGATGCATGGAAGCTCTTCCATGAACTCGATGGCGAGCAGACAAATGCCCGACCAACTGCAAATACATACGCACTCATGCTCCTGGCTTGGCTACGATATAACTCGGAATCAGGTCTTATAAAACCCCTTGCTTTTACGGACGCACATGACCCTGCAGCACTACTACGGAGTATGATTGACCGTCAGATTCCTGTTACTCTTGTTGTCTCCGACCGTGCATTCACGTCAAATGACGAGGCATCACAAGCCATTCAGGCCCTTTCGAAAGCCGCAGTTGAGATGGGCCTGTCAAAGATAGTCAACGAGTTGGGCATGGCGGAGTCGCTAGGCCGGCAGGAAGCTGACCCTCTCGAAGATGTCCCCGAGGCGAAACCCGTTCTGCGTCGCAAGGTTAGTTGTCTGAAAGCGTGCGGCCGCAAAGACTAACTAATATGCACGACGGCGATAGAAACTAGAGAACATTCAGATGACACACGCCGAAGACGGTCGAATCGTAGACATTGAAGTCCAGGGTCCTATCGAGAACGATAGCTACGAGATTCCTTTTAATCTTGAGACCTTGCGGAAACATCTGTCTCAAGTCGTCTTTGCGCGTCGGGTACTGGCTGAAGACGTCGCTGCACGCCAGAAGCTGCTAGAGGAATCTGTCTACGATGTTGCAGTGGAGCGATTAAAGCACCAGGCAGAATTATTTGATGAGCTTGGGCTTAGCAATAAGGCCATGAAAAGCACCGATCTCCGTACATGGATGTGGGAATGGCATCAGAAACTGCAAATTCGTTTGAAAGCGGAGATTGACCACATTGTGCAGGAGGAGAATAGGCTGGGCCGTAAGATTGAGTCAAAAAGTGGTATGTAGTCGTGGTATTTGTTGCAGACTTAGTGCTTATTGCTTTGTATAGGTGAAATGAAGCGAAGTGCTGGGTTAAGTCCATTCCTTTCACTTTTGACTCCGGAAAAGTTGTCCCTTATTGCGATCATGGAGTTAATGCATCTCCAAGGGACTGGTGGTGTGGCAGACGGCATGAAAACTGCGCGGGCTCTTCTCGCAGTCGGAAAGGCCGTTGAGCTTGAACACAAGGCTGAGATGTGCAAGAAGAGCAACCTTCCTATCCCCACAAGTTCTGGTCGCACTTCAGACCACAGTTTCTTCACGCGCCTAGGTTACCGGGACTTGCAAGCCAGGCGAGTCGCGGCGAGGAAGTTCATGGAAGACGCTGAGGACTGGACGACAGATTGGACACAGGTTGTGCGAGTTAAGGTTGGCAGCTTCCTCGTTGATGCCCTGATGGATGTTGCGACCGTTATGCGGACAGGCGTGGACAAGAGAACCGGCGAGGCAATGTGAGAATTTCCTGCATCTCAACTTCATGTCAAACGAATTAACTATGATTACAGCTCTGAGGAGCAGCCGGCGTTCTTCCACTCGTACGAATACCTGCGCGGGTATAAGCTTGGTGTCATCAAGCTGAACCCTCTTATCTCTGAGAAAATGGCTAAGGAGTCTATCCGGGAGACGTTACACCCGCGACATTTGCCCATGCTTGTGAAGCCGAAGCCATGGCTGAGCCATGATCAGGGTGGCTACCTTTATAACAAGAGTAAGTTTTTTAATCTTGCTGCAAAAGCCATGGTAGCTGACGAACCATAGCATGGGTCATGCGTTTTAAGGAGTCGCAAGAACAGCAGAGCTATTTGCGACACGCGTCTTCTCTCGGCAACCTCGAGCTTATTTACGCCAGTCTTGATGTCCTAGGCAACACTCCCTGGAAGATCAACCGCCGCATCTTCGACATCGTATTAGAGGTCTGGAATTCTGGTACTCGATGGTGCAAGATTCCGCCAGCGGCCTTTGATGCACCGGAACCTGAGAAGCCGGAAAATTTTGACACAGATCCCAGGGCGAAGATGATTTATCTGACAAGACAGAAGCAATATGCTCTCGGTAGAGCGAACAATCATTCTGACCGGTGCAGCGTCAACTATAAAATCGAGATTGCCCGAGCGGTGAGTACGCGCCATATGTGTGAAGAGGTAGCGCTGACATGTCTCCTGTCAGTTCCTGGGCGACACCATTTACTTCCCTCACAATGTCGATTTCCGTGGCAGAGCCTATCCCCTTCCGCCGCACCTGAGCCATATTGGTGACGATCTCAGTCGTGGGTTACTGATGTTCGGCGAGGCAAAACCGTTGGGAGAGCGAGGGCTCCGGTGGTTGAAGATTCACCTTGCTAATCTCTATGGTTACGACAAGGCAAACTTTGATGAACGCGTCAGCTTTGTTCATGATCACCTCGACGACATCTTCGATAGCGCGGACAATCCACTGGAGGTAAGGTCACATTCGGTCTCTGGGCACAGTTCCATTTTGCTGAGTTACCCCTCTAGGGGAAGAAATGGTGGACTAAGGCGGATGACCCGTGGCAGTGCCTCGCTACTTGCATAGAGCTGAAGGCCGCACTGCAGTCGCCTGACCCGCACACCTATGAGTGCGCGTTACCCGTGCACCAAGATGGTACGTGTAACGGGCTGCAACACTACGCTGCCCTTGGTGGAGACGCGCAGGGTGCCCGACAAGTCAATCTGGACGTCACTGACCGTCCCTCCGATGTCTACACGTTCGTGGCGGAGATGGTGGAGAAGGCTATGGAGGAAGACGTCAAGCTTGACCACAAGTATGCAAAGATGCTGACTGGTAAGATCTCCAGAAAGGTCGTCAAGCAGACCGTAAGTCGCGTGCTTTCTCTACTGTTTTCTATCTAATCCCTTGACATCGCATAGGTCATGACCACCGTGTATGGTGTTACCTTCATTGGGGCTCGTGAGCAGATCGAGAAGCAGCTAAAGGACAGGGGTGATATTGCTGCGGAAGAGTGTTGGCTCGCGGCGTCTTACGTTGCTAAAAAGGTCGGTTCTCTAGTGCCGAAATTGCATGGTCAATCCTCAGTCGCTCCGCAGGTGCTGTTATGCATTGGCGACTTGTTCAAGGGCGCCAAAGATATCCAGACCTGGCTGAACTCCTGCGCAAGGCTTATTGCAAAGTCCATCCCGCCTGACCGTCTTGATGCGGCCACCGACGTGGAGCGCACATTCGGTACTGGAAGGAAGATGGTCAAGTCGACAGAGGCTACAAGGCTGAAGAAGGAACAAATGACGTCGGTCGTTTGGACTACGCCATTGGGGTTGCCAATCGTCCAGCCATACAGGGCGACAAGGCGCAAGCAGATCATCACCTCTCTGCAGACTGTCTTCATCTCGGATCCGAATAGCCCTACGAGTGGTGAGGTTTCTATGCTCATAATTAACCATCGACCAATGATGACTCACACGTCATTGCAGTCAACGCCTCTAAGCAGGCGTCGGCATTCCCTCCCAATTTTATCCATAGTCTTGATGCTACGCACATGATGCTGACCGCCCTTGAATGCAAGGTATGTGCTGACTAGGTGACACTACAAGACCTCGGCTGACATCTGCATCGAAAGACGCAAGGCGTAACCTTCGCCTCTGTGCACGATTCGTACTGGACGCATCCATCCAGCATCGACCAAATGTCTACGATCATCCGTGACACATTCATTGCCTTGCACTCGTCGGATGTGCTTGGTAAGCTGGGTGACGAGGTATGTTCCGCACACATTACTGCGTCGGATATGTAGAGCTCAGCTGTATCCCAGTTCCTGCAGCGGTACAAGGGCTACAAGATCCCCGTTTCCAGCTTGAAGAACACGTCGTTTATACCCGGTTTCGGGCCGACAGCGCGCAGGATCTCCGGTTCAAAAGCGAAGAAGCAGTCAGCGTCAGAAGTAGACCTAGCTGACGAGCCCGCAGACGAGGTATCGGAGGAGTCCAAGTCTGTCGTGCGTACCGGGGATGCAGACGCGCAGGTGCTCGCTGCGCTACAATCACCAGTCGATGTTGGAGAGAAGAAAAAGCGAGGTCGCCCGAGCGTAACGCCGGCCGCCGCAGTCATGGATGAAAACAAGTTCGTGGACCTGACGAGCTTCCTGCCGCCCCTTCCGCAGAAGGGGGTTTTCGACGTGTCCACGATCAAGAAGTCGCTGTATTTCTTCTCATGATCCCTTTTGTGCCTGTCTCCCTCCCCTGCCTTGGCATTCCTCGTGTTCGCTCGCGTTGCATCAACTAACCGTCTCCGCATTGCTTTCGGTCCCCCCTGCTCACATCTATTCGCTTACGCACATCGAACTACTGTATCTTATGCATCATACTATTCTACATTACATATTGCTTTAGAGACGCACTACTTGGGTATATAACATCTTTCCGGAACTACGGCGAAGGTCCGTTGCTCGTGACAATTGTGGTCCTTTCGGACCGGCGTGACTTTCAGATATGAAAACCGCAATCATGGAGCACGCTCGATCTCGTGGACGCCGTCTCCGCGTTGGTAGCGCGCAGCTCGCGCACCGAACAAGCGCGGAGATACTGAGCTCGCCGCTGCTCGTCGACTCGATGATGAGCCGGGTTCAATGCACAACGTGGCGTGAGCGAGGTTCCAGCGATTCCTGCACAGGCCCGAGGCTGAACGTTTGAACATGCACGAATGGACACTGGGAGTGTCGTCTCTCCGCGACTCCACACCCCACTGATAGAGGCTCCTGATACCCCACCGCCCCAGTATTCGAATATCACTTGACAGCCTGAGGATCCGAGACGAGCTTTGGGGCTATGGGTAGGTCTCTCCACATACCTGGGGTGTTCTTCCTCTTTTGCGCGCTGGTGCTGCTGTGCCTGGTGTCGATATCGCTGCCCTTCCTGCCTGCCCTCGATATTGCGCGGGTGCGGGCGAGTCAGAGTGGAGCGAGCTTTGTGACGGATGTTAGCGTGGAGGCGGTCGTGGGGCTGAGGGTGCGTATCAGATGTGATGTTTGACCGAAGTGACCCGCTCAAAGTTTGTGGACGGCGTGTAGCTCGGGATTTGGTAGGTGATGGCTACAGCGGCAGGAAATGTGTTAATGAGCCTTTTTCGCGTGAAGGGGAGCCTGTTCGTATGGAGTCTCGACCGGACAGTGCGAATGTACTGTTGCAAGTTGCGTTGGTGTTTTTCGTGCAACCATCATTGGATGAACTGTGATGGCTTTGCATAGGTAGTCCCTACAGCATCAGCGTATACAACAGCGGCGGCAACAGTTCTCTCACCATAGAACCCCCTTGGACCCGTGGTCTCGCTGTGCATCCTATTGGTGCGTTCTGCCAACGATTTACGCACCGTTGGTGCTGATCTAGCTGCATAGCTACTGGTGTGACGCTCATCGCTTTGCTGCTGTCATGCTTTACCCACGCTTTCTTCATTTTTCTGACCACTCTCACCGCGTTCATCGCGAGCCTGCTTGCATTTATCGCCTTCGCCGCCGACATTGCGCTTTACGCGCACTTGAAGCACGAGATGGACGGTCTTTCCGACATAGAGCTGACCACTGATGCAGAGGCTGGTGCGTGCATCCAGATGCTAGCGATGTGGTGAACTCAGCTCTGTGTCTTCAGCGTTTTGGATGACGTTCGTCTCGTTCGTACTCTTATGCCTCGCAGGATTTATGATTTGTCTCGGTCGTCGACGCGATCGTATGGCCGGCGCTACAAATTACGCAATGCCTTCGAGTAAAACATCGCTGTCATGGAGGAGGAAGAGAAGGAGATTCGACACGGCTTAGACGATATTCACGTATTTTAGAGGGCAAACTATGCGGCATATCGTTGGGGGACTACGATTCCATCCCGAGCTTGCTGCTTTCTCCGCCATTTCGCCGCTGGCATGACCTTGTATTATTATATACGATACTGTGCATGGATTGGATCTCAATTTATTCTACCATGTTATCTCCACCATAGTGATAAGTGTTCTGGGACTAAAATCCCGGCCTCGTCGCGCACAAATCCTCATTCTTAAAGGCCTGCCTAAAATAGAAAAATGACGTCAATGACGTCAGGGCGGAGTACCTAATATGGGGCGATGTGGCGGTTTTCGACGCCCCGACTCTGCGCGCGGTATAAAAGGCTGCCATGGTTTGAATCCCCAACACATTTATCTCTACCTACCTTCCAACCAACTGCATACCCACATTCGTCCCAAATCATACCCATTATAATGTCTTCTACAAACTCCAACACCAACCCGTTCGTCACCCAGCCCCCACCCGAGCACCACGTCCACCGCGACTCGGAGGTCCTCCCAGGCGCGAAGCGCGGCGGACAAGCACCGGACTACAGCGCGGACGTAACGAACGATTCCAAGACATGGGCGGACAACAACCAGCGCCGTTTTGGCGCAGGGACCGACGACCACATGGTCATGGCTGGCGGTCAACACGACACACTCGGAACCAGATCGACGCCAGACGGCCAGCAAGGAAACAACGCGTACACCCAAGATAGGCCGATGGATGTCAAGCCAACTTCGCAGGGTGAGTGTCCTTGACTTTGTGGGCAGGTTCTGCTTACTAACGACGTCGAATAGGTGGCGTCGCGGTTGGCGGTCATGACGATCTGCCTGAAGGCAAGGCCAAGTTGACCGACAAGATAATAGGCAAAGCGCAGAAGGTACTGTAGTTGGTTGCATTGTTCCCATAGCCCACCACTGATGCTGTAGCCATAGGTTGCTGGCAAAGCTACCAACAACCAGGACTTGCATGAGAAGGGCGAGCTTCGAGAGGCCGGTGGTAAAGCCGCGGTTCAGGGTGAGGCAAGGGTTTCGCATGACTGAGCGATTCAGTGTCATCCACCACTCCCTACCGGTCGACGAAGACATTGAATGTGTCTATCTAATACTGTACAATGTTCAACATAGTCTAGTACTCTAAAGTTGTATCAAATTGGTTCACTACGATCAATGACAATGCTCACCATTATGTATATTGGTCGAAGAATGCTTCGATTATGAGCCTATTGGCGGCGGCGACACATCATCTTAGATGCAACAATCACCTTGGCCAGATGTGACATACCGCCAGGTTGAGTACAATCTTTACTTCGATTACACAGAAGATATACGACTAATGCCATGGAGGGTATGGGAAAAAACATCAGTTAATTGATGAGTTTCCTGGCTTGGTTATTGGTCATTCATAGGTCACAAGGCTCGCGATCTCTAGACGCTAGATAGTAATGATGAATCTATGACTGACCGCTTTGCAAAAAAAAAAAAAAA